AGGGAGTGCTGGAAATGTGGCCCGAGGGCTGCTGAGATGTTTGGTGAGGAGGCAGCACGGGAGAGGGCTGCCTGTCTCCCTGCCTGCACCGCTGCCTGTTTGTACCTGCAGTGGGAGCTGCTGCCCTCTCCTGCTCCCATGCAGGAATGCTGTCAGGTGTCCTGGCAGTCCTGCTCTGCCTCCAGGATAGGCTTTTCTCCTCCAGGATCCTGTGCCTAGGATCTGCCTCACTACCACCCTCTCTATTTCCAATCTGGAGCACCCTCTGTGCTGAGGCTGGAGCCGCTGGACCCCTGGGCAGGGGAGCTGGCAGTTGTGGGGACAGTCTGCCACCTCCCTGGTGCTGCTGCCTCCCCTGGGTCATGCAGGTGTCCCAGGGGGGTGCTGGGCTCCCCCAGCCTGGTGATGACCATCAGTAACTCACTCCCAGCACCAGACCCTGCAGCTCCAGCTGGGACAGTAGAGGCAGGTCATGGACATGTCACCCCCAGGCACCAGAGGAGGAGCACCACCCCATGTGTGGGCACTGCCAGCTCAGAGCAGGCTGGAGCCTCAGTGTCCCTGTACCAGCCCCAGCCCTGCCACCCCTGCCAGCCTGGAGCCTCGCCATGCCCTCCCAGCCCGGTCACTGCTGTTCCCACAGTCCTCATCACCTGGGCACATGTGGGCTGGAGTGTGATGGGGTGTCTCTACTGGCCAACATCTGCCAACATCTGTTCCTGGCCAGGAAGGGTGGCCCAGGATGTGGAAGGCTCCGTTGCTGCTGCCCAAATCCAGCCGACTCCCAAGCCCTCTGCCCACAGTGAAGCCCAAAGTTCCTTGGCCTCACAGGGATGGTTCCCTCTGCTAGTGAAGCGCAGATGGACAGTTAACGCCCACTCCTGGGGCTTACGTTTCAGAGGTCTTTGTTATGCAGTGTTTGTAACCCAATCTCCCAGGCTTGGCTTCCTGGCAGCAGATCCGATAGCGCCTGTCCCTGAAAGGTGAGCCCCTTCCCACTACCGGCCACCAGCAGCCACGGGGACGTGGCTGGGGAGCTCCTGCAGCTCAGCCCCCTGATGCTCCCCACGGGACTGTCACAGCCCCTGGGGACAGCACAACCCTTCTGCAACCAACTCTGAGGCCCTGGGGAAGCATCTCAATACAGGTAGGGATGGGGAAACTGGGAGAAGGGGAGGACGTGCACCAAAATGGTTGAGATTGCCCAAGGAGAGGGAACAGGGTCTTGGAGGCCTTTGGGAGAAGTTCATTAATATGCTGGTGGTACCAGACCCCACCTGGATGCTGAGATGAGCTGGAGCCCTCAGCTCCTCCCCACCAGCCTGCATGCCCATCCCCTGTTGCAGACAGCCATGCTGTGGTGGCCTGGCACAGCTCAGGGATGAGGAGGAGCAGGGCTGTGGCACTGCCTGGTCCCCTGAGTGTTGCCCTCCGACCCACTCAACCACCCCACTCCTGCTCCCCCCATGTCTCCTCTGGACCCAGGGTCCAGGCAGGCTGCTGGGGTCTGGCTAAACCATATTCCCAGTGGGCTGGTAGATCTCCCACGGAGGGTGGGAAAACACATCCTTCATGGATGCAAGGACAACCCACTGCAGTGACAGGGTCCTGCTCTCCCAGGCAGGGCTGGCCATGGGACAGGCAGGCAGCAGGCAGGGATGTTGGGCAGGGAGTGTGGTGCCTCCCTGGGAACCCCCCCATCTCTCCCACAAGGCGGGTGCACGCAGAGGTTATATCTCACCCCTTGACCCCCTCCCCAGCCACGGACGGGTCTGGTGACTCCTCTAAACCCCACCTCCCCCGCCCAGCATGTCC